TGGTCGCCGAGGTCCGACACGTACGCTCGGAGGTAGTCCACCGGGGCGCCGGAAAGGAGGCTTTCCAACTCGTGCAGCGCCTCCAGCCTCGATTGCACGTAGTGAAGACCCGCCGGATTCAGCTTCAACACCAAGGCTCCTTCGATCAGAGGTCCCACCTGGTCCTCCACGAAGTGCACCAACTTCTCGAGGTACCAATCTCCGGTCACAATCGCCATTCTCCGCCGACGAGGTTTCCGCGCACACGTCAAAAATTAGGGTTTTTGCAGCGAGGGAAGAAATAAGAAGCCAGAAAAATTCGAAAAAAAAATTAAAAAATATGAACTTCATGGATGTGAATTTTAAATAATTAAAAAATTATAAATAATTTGAATTTAGTGACATGTCATCATCGATATCCTTCTTTATAAAGAGTACCGTAGAAATTCTCAAAAAAATTCCACCCATTGCACTTGCTACTCATCTACATCAGCAAGAACCACAAATGAAAAATTCATCCCACCGCACTCACCACCTATATGCATTAACAAAAACACCACATGAAAAAATAAAATCCACCCCCACCGCACTCGCTTCGTGTTTAATTACCACTTTTTCTTAATTTTTTTTATTTCAAATCTCTTTCTTCCTTACATATCTCTTAACATTCTAACTAATTATTGTTAGTTGCCTTTCTCTCTCTTAACATTCCATATAATCAAACTTGTTAGCTTAGAATATTAAAACTTGAATGTATGTGATTTTTGACAAAAAAAAAATAGTGACATAAAAGTGTTGCAGATCTATTGCAGTTGTGTGTTCCAATTATTTTACAGAATTTTTTTTATAATAATTTAAAAGTTCATGCATTTGCGGACAGTTGAAGTTGCAGAGAGTACTATATTATATAGGACTCACAATTTAGAACCATGCTCCAATCAAAATGCGGAAGACGTGGCAACCATCCCACAAGGTGATTACGATACAACAAACACCCCTTGGTCCTGGCGATTGTAACCACCATCGACTCTCTTTGAAAATACTAGTGTTAGAGGAGAATGCAGAACCAAGATATAAGCAACCCTCACATGTTTTGAAATCAATGGAATAAAGAAATCCAAGTAAGTTTACTACAAACACCCACAAGATAAAATTCACCACCCTAATGGCCCAAGCTATTGAAAAACTTTGATGGAAATACTATATTATTTTTTGGTCTTAGATTGATATGGTTTGAAAATATTTGAAGCTTCAATTTTATTCTTTTTTTTATTTAAGACAAGTCCAAGTAAGTTTACTACAACACCCACAAGATAATGTAATAAAGAAAGGTGAAACCAATCGGAATAAATTAACAAGGACTCTTATATGTTTTGGAGGAAATATGAGAAGGCAATTTGTGTGCCTCGCTTAGCCAGCAAAAGGATCGAAAATAAAAAATAAATATTTTTACTGAAGAAATTTACATAATTTGGAAACTAATTTTTGTACATCAACATTGGGGTCCTAAACTGAATTGCAAAAGAAGAAAAATACCCCAACAAAGGTATAAAAGTGTACTAGACTAAAAAAAATATGATTGAAATACAATATTTAAAGCTTTTGAATAGTCTAGCAATGAAATAGGGGAAAAGAAACAACAACATAACGTATATAAGCTTGCCCAAAATAGATAAAGGAAAATAGGATATTTTGGTCAAGATGTATTAAGGATAACGAAAGGAAAGCTTAGGACCCAAGTCAAAATATAGAGCAAAAGAGAGATATTCAAAATTGTGTAAACAACAAAGCTATAAAACCTATGAGCCAAACTATGAAGTTATTTAAAAAATGGTGATTAAGCATAAATCAATAGGAGAGATAAGGACTATAGAGATAGAGAATCCATTTTATTTTATAGTAAGAAAGTCTACAATAGAAATCAGTTACGTTTTTTAAGATTGAGTAAAAGATACCAAAGCAAAGAAAGAGACCTACTCATGATTTTTATTGACATAGAAAAAGCATGTGATTGTTCCGAGAGAAGTATTCTGGAAGGCTTTTAAAAATAGAGTTGCTTGTATGGCTTATATCAAGGTTAAACAAGACATGTACGATGGGGTAACTACTAGTGTGAGAACTTCAACAAGAGAGACCGAGGACTTTCTAATAGGGATATAGGATTACTAGCTTGTATGGATTCCAATTTTTAAACTTTCATCACACATCAAAAAAGCAATAAATTGTTTCTCTTAAGTCTATTTTGATGCCATTATTCCACTAAATAGGTTATATATTGACAGGTGAGAGGGAGAGACAAAAAGAGAGGTGATTAAATTTTGCTGTATCTTCACCCTTCCTTTTCTTTAATCTGACAACCAATTTGACTTTATTTCTTTGAAAATTATAATATATACACGTACCTAGACATATTGGGCATTGAACGTCCTTCCGAACATCTTCCAATTGTATCATGCAAGACCTACAAAAGAAAACAAAATGAGGATACCATGTGTAATTTGAAAAAGGAAGATTCAAGATTGTCAAACATCTAAGAATTTATGTTAAATCATGTAGTTTTTTCCTTGAGTTCTAAACTTGTAATATTTAACTACTAAAAAATAATATATATATATATATATATA